GTGGGGTCCCTTGGCCTGGCCTGTGCCCTCTCACAATCCAGGACCCCTTAGGGGGGTGTCAGAGAGCCAGTTTTGGTCTGATCCTGCAGGGATCCCATTGGTGCATGAATTTGTGCACTGGGCCTCTAGTAGGTAAATAAATGAATTCAAGTCTTCTAGAAATAGAGAATTCCTATATTATTCAAATTTTTCCCAAGGCACTGAAAAAGATAAGCTTATCAACTTGCTCTACAAAACTAGCAGAACCGTAATTCCAGAAACAAATTAAAATAAACATTTTTTAAAGAAAGCCTAATGAATACAGATCAAAAACTTCTTAAAAACTTGAAAACCAAATAGAATTCTAGAGTAAATTAAATGCACAATATATTGAGATACATAGTTTTAATAATAAAATGCAATAATGGTTCAAGGTTAGCAAATCTATTTTAAGAAAGTTTTCTATGTTGAAGCCTTCTTTTTAAATTCAATAATTTGATAAATGTTCCTTCATCTATTCATTAAATATTTACAAAGTATCCCTGTCTGGGTGGCTCAGTTGGTTGGAGTGGCATCCCATACACCAAAAGGTTGCAGGTTTCCCAGTCAGGGTACATATCTAGGTTCAGGTTCCATCCCCAGTTGGGGTGTGTACAGGAGGCAACTGATCCATGTTTCTTTCTCACAGGGATGTTTCTCTCTCTCCCCTTTCCTCTCTCCCTAAAATCAAGAAAAACATATCCTTGGGTGAGGACTAAAATAAAAAATTTGCCTGGTCAGTGTTTCTCGGCGGTTAGAGCATCAGCCCATGGACCTAAAGGTCTCGGGTTCAATTTCTGGTCAAGGACACATACCTGGGTTTCAGGATCAATCCCGAGCCCCATTTGGGGCCCATATGGGAGGCAAGCAATTGATGTTTCTTTCTGTCTCCTTTCCCTTCCTTCCACTCTCTCTAAAACTCAATGGAAAAAAATATCCTCTGGTAAGGATTAACACAAAAAAAATAGAAGAAAAAAATTTGCCAAGTATATATACACTGAGTGGCCAGATTATTATGACCACCCCATCAGTACTTTGTTGGGCCACAGTATTGAAGGCAAAAGATAGCCCAGTGAAGTACTGATGGGGTGGTCATAATAATCTGGCCACTCAGTGTACATGTCAGGCACTAGACACTGTAAATTCAGCAGTGAATAAAATATGGTCTCTGCTTTCATGGAGCTTAGATACACAAAGAAAAAGAAAATGAAAATACAGTATAAAGGCTATTAAAGAGAAATACAGAGCAGTATGAAAATACATAAACTGATACTGAAACATTAGGGTACTGTTGGAATAAGCCTGTTGTGATGATTGCCCAGTCTAAGATGGTGGCAGTTGATAAAAGGAACGTGGGCCTGTAAAACATAACTAGAAAGTGGTATAAAATGTTTACGGTTGATTGGATGGAGAAGGGTAGAGTCAAAGATTCTTTGGGGGTGGTGTGTGTGTGTGTGCGTGTGTGTGTGTGCGCGCGCGCTCGTGTGTGCCTTAGTATACATCCTATCTAATAAATGAGAAACATGGTAATTAGCATACGTCCGATACCCTTCCCATTGGCTAATCAGGGCGATATGCAAATTAACTGCCAGCCAAGATGGCGGCCGGCAGCCAGGCAGCTTTAAGCTAACATGAGACTTGCTTGCTTCAGTGTTGGAGGACTCCAACAGTCCCCTCCTGCCTTCTAGCCTCTGAGCTTGCAGTTTGAAACATTGTTACAAATATAGAAGCTAAACAAAACCCCAGAAACCTGCTTTCAGCCAGCCGGGATCTCAGAGCTGGAGATGAAACAGTGTTTCGATTATCGAACCAAAACA